ACGCATTCCACTCCCTCATCATCTTCCTAGACCTTGGCCTTACCCTTAGTGTCTGCACATGCGAAGAAAGAAATCTGATAATCTTTACGCTTAGTAAGTCACTATGAATCCACAAAAATATTTATGCTAATTTATCAATAGATAAATTTATGCCATAAGCATGCACTTAACAAATAATTCACAAATAACTTCTCAAATAGTTTCTGAAGAGATCTCATAAGACAATACTTTCTGAAATAATTTCTCAAAACTGGTGAAGTGATCTCAAAATTTTTTGCTAAAATAACTCTGAAATAACTTCTGAGAAGATCTCAAAAACAACTTTTTGAAAAACCTTTCTGTAAAACCTTCTGAAAGAGATATCAATAACTTTTTGTAACTCTTTCTGACTAATTTTAAATGTGAGCCCGTGATATATATTTAAAGGCACCAATCCGACAGCTCAGGGCAGCGACCCACTAAACATATCGGACTCTTTGAAACTGATAATTGATAACTGTGGGAACTTGTTCCCGAGTACATACCACCTAATCTTTCACATACATATTAGTTCTTTTATGATGATATTTGGTTAAAAACATCGTTAAAATCTTAAAATAAAAATACTGACATATACTTGATTAAGCCAGATAATAAAGATAACTTAATACAACAAATAAAATAACTCATCAAATAATTCATCAAGCTCACATGATAGCAAATAGTTTAAAGTCATCTATTAAAAATCAACCAGACTTCTTAAAATGCTTAAAATACTTACATGTTAATAGCTAAACTCAAAATACTTAAATAAGTATGGCACCTTGATAACGTCTTCCGATAAGCTCGTCTTTTAAAACTCTTTAATTAAATATAATAATTCTAATAAGAATCTTATTTTCAAAATACAACTGATCTGCTAGAGAGAATATGCTACTAATGCGCACTAACTATATGTAAAATTGGAATTGGCTATGCTAACCCATTCGTGTATGGAATAAAAATGAAGTTCTACAATTTATGCTAATAAAAAATGAAGTTCTACAATTTATGCTAATAAAAAATGAAGTTCTACAATTTATGCTAATAAAAAATGAAATATTGATGAAATATAGTATGTCAATTCTCGATATAAAAATGGAGTTCTAAAATTTAAAGAACTGTATGCGACACCTAACCGAAATTAGACATTAACTACAAATAAAGGAACGAAATTATGCTTGGTCCAACCCAAATCTGCAAAAATATAGCTACAAAGTTTAATCTACTATAAATTTATTTAACTATATGAAAATCTCTTCCATTTAAAGCTATATACAGTAACCCATTGAAACCACTAAAGCTTAACTTTAAAGAAATCATTTTCCAGATGACTAGATGCCATTAAAACTGTAACTAAACCTTTTAAATTGAAAAGAGCATCAATTTTAGAAAGTTTAATCTCAAAACTTTAGAAATGTGTTCAGCAAAAAGGAAGCATGAAAGCAACGTAATTCAACTTACTCGATTTAGGATGATGACTCAAAATCAAGAACATATTCATCAGCAAGATGAGTAGGTCGAAAAATTGAAGAATTGGAGACTGTTTTCATTTGATTGAGAGGGAAGAATGTGAGGGGTGCGGCTACTGTTGGTGGAAGAAAAATAAAAGGCGTGTACCTAATACTCCTTAGGGTTTTTAACTTAAATACTGCTTCGGGCCAAGATAACTGATTTGGGTGACTTAATCTGTAAAAATAAATTGATTAAACTTCAGAGTATTATTTACTTATTTATTTGAAACTAAGTAAATTGATTTGGGCCACAAACAAAACATTGTAAATTAATATATCACATGAGTCATAGAAGTAATTTATTTAACTGAATAAAATAAATAATAATGATTAATAAACTAGCTCATAAAAATTAGGGTGTTATAGATATCCATCGAATCTCCAGACAAGTAAGATTAATTAGCATAACTATGCACAAATGTGGTGTCATTTATTCAAGATTAATCTTATCTGGAAATATTAATTGAGAATAACAAGGATGACACAACTTAACCTTATCTTAATTAAGATATCATTTGAAGATATCCGTTAGGAATAGTGTATGAATACTACACGTGTATTTCTTTGTAATGTAATGTAACTACATTCTGTTAGGCTTCGGTTATGTTTGCTTATAGTCAGTTAGACTGCAGCTTGTATAAATACTCTGTAATATCTCATTCTCAGTAAGATGTTTTCATTTCCATCTTCTACCTTGCTTCCATTCTAATATGGTATCAGAGCTTCGCTTCTTTGCCTTTCAAATTCTGGCACTGCTTTTGCCACAGCTGTACATCTTATCAACAAACTTCCCTCTAAATCTATTGAAAATCTCAATCCACATTACAAATGGTATGGTATTGTTCCTGAATATACCTTTCTCAAAGTCTTTGGTTGCTCTTGCTAGCCTTTCATTAGACCTTACAACAAACATAAAATGGACTACCATTCCAAGGAATGTGTTTTTCTAGGATACTCTTCTCATCACAAGGGCTACAAATGTCTCTCCCTGTGGCAAAATTTATCTTTCCAAGGATGTTATCTTTGATGAAACAAAATTTCCTTACCCTACTCTTTTTCCATCCACATCCAGTTCATCTCCTAGTGTCCCAGTTTCACTATCAGCTCCCATAACAATTCACTCTCCTTATGCATCCCAATTTCACTCTGACAATGATGCTAGTACCAGTTCAAACAACTCCAATTCTTCTTCCAATCCTTCTTCCATTCCTACATTTTCATCCACTACACCTCAGTCTAACACTGATCACCAAACTGATCATCAACTATCCTCCCAATCTGAGTCAACTCCTTCTATTCCTTTTAATGACACAACTGTCATCTCTCACACCACATCATCTGATTCCAACTCTCCTCCACCTCCAAGTCCTCCTCATAATAATCATCCCATGCAAACTAGATTCAAATCTGGGATTGTAAAACCTAGACTTAATCTCACCTTACTGTTAGTCCATATAGAGCCCAAATCAGTGAAGCAAGCTCTCTCTTCTCCACCTTGGCTTGCAGCAATGCAATCTGAATATAATGCCCTGATAGCTAACAATATTTGGTCTTTAGTGTCTCTTCCTCCAGGAAAGTAGGTTATTGGTTACAAATGGGTATTCAGAGTCAAAGAAAATCCTGATGGTTCTATGAATAAGTTCAAAGCAAGGTTAGTTGCCAAAGGATTTCATCAAAGGTTTGGTTTTGACTTTGGAGAAACATTTTCTCCAGTAGCCAAACATGTCACTATCAGAATTCTTCTCACATTGGCTGTCTCTCATCAATGGTCTATACAAAAACTTGATGTCAACAATGCTTTCCTAAATGGGGACCTTGAGGAAGAGGTATACATGTCTCAACCTCCTGGTTTTCAATCTAAGGACACCTCCCTTGTTTGCAGACTCCCTAAATCCTTATATGGCCTAAAACAAGCTCCAAGAGCTTGGTTTCACAAGCTCACTTCAGTTTTGTACAATGCTGGGTTCAAACAAAGCAAGTGTGACCCTTCTCTTCTTATATACTTAAAGTCTGGAATCCAAATCTACATCCTAATCTATGTTGATGATATTCTGGTTATTGGCAATAACTCTACTGTTATCCAACAAATCATCCAAACCATACATTCTTCCTTCTCTCTCAAACATCTGGCGGACATAGACTTCTTTTTGGGCATCCAAGTCAGAAAACTACCCAATGGTTGTCTGCATCTTTCACAAACAAAGTACATCAGAGACCTTCTTCATAAAGTTGGAATGTCCGATTCCAAGGGTGTGAAAACACCCATGGTGAGTACTTGCAAGCTCACCAGTGAAGGGAATGATCATCTTCCTGATCCCTCTCACTACAGATCTGTTGTTGGAATTCTGCAATATGCTACCCTAACTAGACCTGAACTCAGCTATGCTGTGAATAAAGTGTGTCAGTTCATGGCTAACCTGATAGTCCCAAATTCTTTAACAATCAAACAACCATACCAGATAAAGAAGCAGATAGAAAGATATCGAGATGAAAACCAAATCTGGTATACCGTGAACTGGCCGCTGCTCTCCCTCGAGAAAGAGAGCAGCATCAAACCCTACTCTCTATCTCGCCTCTAACTCTCAAGCCTCGAAAACATTTTTCGATACTTAGGGTTTCCATAAGTTAGCCCCCTTTTATAGGAGAAGTTGGCTAACTTATGAATTACAAAGAAGCTAATGGGCTGACATACATTTGTGGCCCATATTACACGTTTAACTAATAACTACACAAATACAAAGATATTTAATTAGATTGGACACCATAAAATATTCCTAACATAACCCGTTACAAGAACATTGGAAAGCTGTGAAACATATTTTGAGATACCTTTCTGGAACTATCACTCATTGACTGATTATCAAACCTCTTCCCTCGTAAAAAACACCTCTACCTATCACAACTTTATGTGATGCTGACTGGGCATCAGATCCTACAGATAGGAAGTTTACCACAAGGTCATGCATGTTTCTAGGCCCTAATATCATTTCCCGGTGGTCTAGAAAACAACTAAGGGTAGCCAGATCTTCAGCAGAAGCTGAATATAGAAGCCTAGCAAATACAACATCACAAATTTTATGGGTTCAATTTCTACTCAAAGAACTTCATGCTCCTTTCATTACTCCAAGAATCTACTGTGACAATCTCAGTACAATTCAACTAGCTCATAATCTTGTTCTACACTCTCGCATAAAACACATGGAAATTGATCTTTTCTTTGTACGAGAGAAAGTTCATCTCAAACAACTTGAAGTTTTTCACATTCCAACCTCCCAGCAAATTGCAGATGTGTTGACCAAGCCTCTATCTGCCTCTACTTTTCTTAAGTTTAGAAACAAACTCAATGTGATTGAATTTCCAACTCAATCACCCTCAGTTTGAGGGGGGGATGTTAGGAATAGTGTATGAATACTACATGTGTATTTCTTTGTAATGTAATGTAACTACATTCTGTTAGGCTTCGGTTATGTTTGCTTATAGTCAGTTAGACTGCAGCTTGTATAAATACTCTGTAATATCTCATTCTCAATAAGATGTTTTCATTTCCATCTTCTACCTTGCTTCTATTCTAATAATATCATTTGACAAAGGGAATTGATTAGCACAATTATTTTAAAATTTTAAAGGACAAAAAGTCAAATACTAAGTAGGCTGCAAATTGATGCGGTTTTATTATTCAGTGCATTACATTACAGCTGATCTGGCGATAGTTTTTCACAGTTGATCCATCCATCACACACGGTGAGTGTGGATCAAGCAAGCAAAATTGAGTTCTTGAAGAGTTTTGCACTGTCCGTGTGAGGTTCTTCTCTCTGAACAAAACTGATTCAATGACGGATGTTAGGAGCAGCAATCCAGAAAATAGAATTCTGCAAATTTCATTTCTCCTAAATCCTGTGGACATTGTAGTAGCCCACGTCCTCCTTTAAGATGTCTTTCCAGTCTTCAAATTCAGACCCACCAAACACTACCTGCTTAATTCCTATACAGCTATTTAAGAAAACACAGACAAAGTATGATTACCTGCTGCCATATAAAAAGGAAAGGATATCATCCATAAACAGGTTGAAATACTATGGTCTAGAATTTTAAATCAGGGATGATATTGCTAGTGCAAATGTACGTGAAATCAATCATTGTCAAAGATTCACCTCACGAGAGAGAGAGAGAGAGAGAGAGAGAGAGAGAGAGAGAGAGAGAGAGAGAGAGATGTGAAGGTAAGCTTACTCCGAACTTATTTGTGTCAATGCATTGATGAGTACATCCAAAAGTAGCGGTTCACTTGTCCCAATATCAACCCTGTTTTAACAAATGAAGTCAATTAATCATACACAACTGATACCATATTATCTCTCTCATAAACACATTATAAAGATCCCTTTGCTGGCATATTTTCAAGCAGAGACCCCCCCCCCCCAATCCCTTGTTTGGTTGTTCAGGGTTTCTGTAGAGGATCACGCAGAAGGGATGATATTAGGTTTACATTTAGAGATGGTCGGAAAGAACGTGAAACATAACAACATTACCCCAGTGTCGCAAAGGCTCCCACCAACGGTAGGGCAAGGGGGTCGGAAGATGTACGCAGCCTTACCCATGTACTAAAGCCCAAAAAGACTATTCTGGATGACCCATGATAAAAATTGCATCGAAAGTTAAATGGACTGACTGCTCCTTCATAACAAAAAGGCGCAAACAGTTTAGTGAGCCATTTTGCTTTATTCTATTATATTGTCAAACCAAAAAAATAGTGAGTCTTTGGTTCCATGGGAAATGATGAAAAAGTGAAACATACAACAACATTTCCCCACTGCCGCAAAGGCTTCCACTTCTAATGGGGTAATAGAGGTCAAATGTACCCTGCCTTACCCTTGTACTAAAGCACAAAGAGACTGTTTACGAATTACCCGTGATGAAAATCTCATCGAAAACTGAATATACAGATAAGTTATTTAACTAAGCATATAATTATTTTCTACACTAAAACTAACAAATAGAGATAAAGTGATAAACTAGTAAAACATATTTCAACTTTCCACTCCAAATTCCTTCAAACCAAACAAGCCCTTGAAGTCAGCTTACCAAATACGAGCATAGTTTTCTTGAATCTCAAGATCACCTATGTTATAAAATGTTGTTGGAGTCACATTTGCCCCTTGAATTGCATCATAACTTGGTGATTTTTCCATATGAGCTTGTGACAACTACAAGGGAGAAAAGCAACTCTTGAACTATACTCACCTATAGTATAAAATATAGTACTAGTATGTTTTTGATATGTTTCTTTTGAGGGTGTGTTTGGATCGAGGGGAGGAAGGGAAGCTCTTCTTTGGTTTGGGAGGAAGGAAAAATACGAGAAGGGTGGGGGGGTTAACTCCCATTCCCTCACAATGGACCAAACACACCCTAATAGATATTAGATAGCATCATCTTTTTCAGTTCTTTTATTATACACAAAAGTCAAATAAGCCCTTCAACTCTTTGTAAGAGATCACATCAACCCTTGTACTGATAAAGTGTCACACGAACATGACTGCTCATAAGAAAGTAAGAAACAATGAATTAGGTCCTCCATCCTGCCAAAGTAGGTAAACTGCTTGTGTGGATCTTTTAATTTCCAAAGTAGAAGACTCATCAATCACCACCATCATCATCTTCTTCTTCCAAACATCTTGTTTCCCCCCTATTCCTTTCCATATTTTTTCATTTTTTCTAAAAACTAGATTTTTTATCTCACGATGGAAGTGAAGATCAATGGTTCAAACAGGACAAAAACAAAATTTGGAAGGCACTGCATGTTACTTGAAAAAACTAAAGATGTTAGTCGCATATTCGAATTTGGGCAAGACAGATCACTCTTTTAATGTTTCCTGGCTCATTGCATTAAGAAAGCATTATACTTGAATAGTGAAATTAGGGGCCTTTGAAGCTGTATAGCCGTCAAGACAACTTCAGCTAAACATCACGTGCTTTGGGTGTGGTCACCAACTCACCGGGGCTTGGGTTTCCAGCTTGTCGTTATTGGCCTTTGAGGCTGCCCGATTAGCAACAATAAATGGTGGACATCTGTCATGTTAGGATTGGAAAATTATTCCATTCATTATCGGAACAGAATTACAATAGGAGGAGCAAGCTTTCACAAAGAACTATTACAAAAAAAAAAATCTCTAAAATCAATAACTTTTCTCAACCGCTAAACTCTCTATTTTTCCGATGGCACTTAACAAAGAAATAGCTCCCTGTTAATAGGAAAATGCTGGGAACATCTTCATTGTTGCTCATGTTTCAACTCATGCCTCTCCATACCCATTTTAATGGGTGGAGGATGGAAAACATACCATGGTGTGGGAGAGGGAATTGTTTGGCAGCTGCGGCACTCCTACCAATCTCCCATCCAGCTTTTTCTGAAATTTGTTCATTCTAAGCTTGTACATAGCTTGTACTTTTCGTGTGAAAATGCTTTAGTTAACATGTCCACGACATTTTTTATTTGTGTGAAATTCACACTGTGAATATTTGAGAGCTTCAATTCATTTTCTTCGATTGCTTCTATAAGTCAGTGACTTATATAAGCCAGTGATATAAGTCAGTGACTTTTATGATGATGATGATGATGCTTCTATAAGTCAGTGATATCAAACATCATTGAGAGCTTCAATTCTTAAGTAATGGATTTTGGGGTGATGCTATGTTAACTGCTTGTTATATTCTTAATCGAGTTCCTAACAAGAGAAATAAAATAACTCCATATGAACTTTGGCACAAAAGAACACCCCAACTAAGTTATCTTAGGGTATGGGGTTGTAGGGCAATCATGAGATTACCCGAACCTAAACGAAAAACGTTAGGTGAAAAGGGGGTAGAGTGCATATTTATTGGATATGTTGAACATAGTAAATCATATCGATTCTATATTATTGAACCAAATGACTCAATTGCGGTTCATATTGTTATTGAGTCTAGGGATGCTCTTTTCGATGAGAAGCGGTTCACTTCTATTCCTTGGCCAAAGGATGTTGACATCAGTCCAAGTAATTCAAATTTCATGAGCTGATAAAGGATCATGAAAATGAGCCTGAAATTAGACGGAGTAAGAGGGCTAGAAAAGAAAAGTCATTTGGTTCCGATTTCCAATTATATTTGGTTGAAGGATCAAGAGAGACCCTCGTAACTCAAACACTATATTGTTATAGTGTTGAAGAGGATCCTAACTCTTTTAAGGAGGCAATGAAATCACAAGATGCTTCCTTCTGGAAAGAGGTCGTGAACGATGAATGGATTCAATCATGGGCAATAATACTTGGGTTCTAAGTGATTTACCACCCGGTTGCACACCAATCGGTTGTAAATGGATTTTCAAGAAGAAAATGAAAGTAAACGGTACCATTGACAAGTTTAAAGCTAGATTGGTTGCACAAGACTTTAAACAAAAACATGATATTGATTACTTTGATACATATGCACCGGTAGCCATAATAACTACCACAAGATTGTTAATTGCTTTATCAGCCATTCACAATCTTGTGATTCACCAAATGGATGTCAAAATTGCATTCTTAAATGGTGAATTGAAGGAGGAGTATATGAAACAGCCCGAAGGGTTTGTAGTTAAAGGACAAGAAAAGAAAGTTTTAAACTTGTCAAGTCCTTGTATGGTCTGAAACAAGCACCTAAACAATGGCATGAAAGGTTTGATGAGGTGGTGCTGAAAAATGGTTTTAAAATAAACCGATCATAAAAGTGCGTATATAGCAAATCTAATGAGCATAGTACTGGTGTCATTATTTGTTTGTATGTGGATGACATGCTCATATTTGGCACTGATTTGAGGCAAGTGAAAGAGACAAAAGCTTTTCTCTGTTCAAACTTCTCCATGAAAGATATGGGTGAAGCGGAAGTTATCCTTGGAATTAGGATAATAAAGCAAGGTGATTCTATCACCTTAACACAATCTCACCATATAGAGAAAATGTTGAAAAGATTTGGGAGTTTGGATTGTTCACCGGTCTCCACTCCTATGGATCCTAACTGGAAATTAGTTCCAAATAGTGGGAATGTTGTATCACAGTTGGAATATGCTAGGGAAATTGGGTGTCTGGTGTATGCAATGACTAGCACTCGACCAAATATTGCATTTGCGGTAGGCAAGTTAAGTAGATATACTAGTAACCCTAGTATATTTCATTGGCAAGCCTTGAAGCGAGTGCTGAAATATCTAAAGAAAACATTGAGATTCGGCTTATGTTACAAGAGTGAACCTTCTATATTAGAAGGTTATACGGATGCAAGTTGCATAACTAATCAAGAGGATTATTCATCCATAAGTGGGTGGTTATTTCTTCTTGGAGGAGGTGTTATATCATGGGCATCTAAGGAACAAACTTGTATAACGGACTCTACCATGGCTTCAGAGTTCATAGCGTTAGCATCAGCTTGTAAAGAAGCGGAATGGCTAAAAGATTTAGTGTCAGAAGTCCCAATATGGCCTAAACCTATGGCTCCGATATCAATCCATTGTGATAGTGCATCAACTCTGTGGCAAGCTTATAACGATGTGTACAATGGTAAGTAAGTCAAGGCACATAGGAGTGAGACACACCTATGTGAGAGAACTTATTAATTCTGGAGTTGTTGTGATTGATTTTGTACGATCACATGTGAATTTGGCTGATCCTTTTACAAAAGTGATGCCAAGGGACGTGGTGTACAAAACTGCAAAAGGGATGGGGTTGAAGCAATTGGAAAATAATCACAAGTGAAAGAAAATCCAACTCAACGCCTAGTACAACACTAGATCTTGAGTTCAATGATGATGAGTAAGTCACTCTGTGGTTGAAGCACTTTTGAATAATAATCATCCCGAGGTAAGTGCTTGAGTTTGCAATGTGTAATGAGGTTGACTATGTCTTAATAGATCTTTTGATAAAGTGTTTGATTGCAGAACACATTTTGAAAAGACCTACCTATGTGAGCTAGAATGGCGGCCGATTCACCAAGTTTAAGGCTTTACTTGTTGGAGTTCATGAATGGATATGGACACAAGGCCGTTAATTGTATCAAATTTTTAAGTGAAATTGTATAGAGATTTATGTGTGTAATATCTTCAGTATTTCAAAGAGATTATATAGTTCAAAGCTTAGTCTACTATTAAGATCCGAAATATTGTAAAGAATATTGTAGTAATAGAAAGTTCAATCTTTATGACTCTTTCAATTATGCACAAGTCTTGATAAGTGGTTTATTTGGCAAAGATTGAGCATGTTTATTTATCAATAAATGGAGGAGGATTGTTGGAAATTTATTTGAAAAATGAAGCTTAAGTGTTCAACATTATTTTCGGAATATTACTTTAATAATTATTGCCAAGCGCAACTTTAATTATAAAAGATAATGTTAAAGAATATCCAGGTTATAATTATTATTATGAAAATTATGGTACTAAATAATTGTTTTAGTTATCATAATTTAAATAATAATAATAATAATTAATATTCTGAAATGGTTATGTGTGTGTTATGTTTTAAGTTTTTTAAAAAATAAAATCATTTTTAACTTGATTTTAGACGCACGTAGCAGGTTAGTGCTTATCTTTAATTTAATTTACCAATGACATAACCTTTGGAAAAGTCACGACTAGTGTCTCCGGTTTTAGAAAAGCAAAGCAACATGTTTATTCCTACGGTCATGACCATTTGAAGAATTCTTTTTACTCTATAAAAATGGAAGAGATGTTGGGCACAAGGATATACGAACAAAACTGAGTTTTGTCAAACTTGTCATTATTTTGCCTAATTTTATTATTATCAACTGCAGTGATAATGATGGAATATTTAGACCACTTAATATACAAATCACTTGTTAAGTGTTATTTTATCAGTAGCTAAAATACACTTGTACACCTTCTTTTTATCCCAAAAGTTCTATCTTGTAACCCGGTTACTGTGATAAGGGTAGATAATAAACTTTTAAGAAAACGTATTTTATACGTGACTAGAAGTGATATCCATTCCAGCTATATTTCTACACCCTAATAATATAATACTCCCTCAGTCCCAAATTGTAAGATACATTTACTATTCACTTGGTCAACATAAATCACTCTTGATCTTTTACTTTATATATCAAAAGTTTATGAAATTTGAATTATTTTTTGCAACTTTTGTAGCGGTTTTTATGTAGTTTCTGGATATGTAAATTTTATTTTCTAAAACTAACTTGAGTGTTTACAGGGGTCAATTTGCTTTATCGTCGGTCAAACATTGTAAACCATAAAGTATCTTACAAAATGGGATGGAGGGAGTATATAATATCCCTAGTTCTAACACAGAGTGCCTACACGCTTGACAATCCATGTTAAACCTTTTGATCACGCGTTCAATATACTCCTCCTATGATAAGAACAACTTTTTTGCCTTTTGATCATGAAAAATTGTCATGGCCAAAATTTATTGCACCGGGCGTAAGTTTTTCATATCGAAATACAATATGCTTCAAATTGTTGATGAGGGTCACATCATGGCCTGCTATTAGCATATAACCCACATAGAGCAAAAGGGTGATAGATTTTCCATCTAGAAACTTCTTACATATGAGACTGAAAGCTTCGTCTAACCTGTCTATTGTTAGAAATTCTGTATTGATCGGCCTGTGTGACACTAGCCAATCAATTCATTCAATCGACAAACTGGTCGGATGGAAAAGCCATAAACAACCAGTGGGGCACCCCTATCACATAAAGGGCGAACCCACCTGAGAATGCCAAGATGACAGGAACTCTATCCTTTGTGATCCTTGGTTGCAACTGCTCTCCTGCATTAGTGCTTCACCATGAATGAGTTAAACTTCTTATACCATTGTTTCGGAGCTTGCTTGAGATCGTAGAGGCTCTTCTTTAACTTGCAAATAAGATGCTCTTTCTTGGGCACTTTGAAACCCTCAGTTGTTTCATGTATATCAGTATCTCTTCTTTCATATCATCATGAAGAACATTGTTTGTAATTGCACAATGCAATTGCGCAATTCAGATATACTATCCCTTATCTTAGATGATCTTAGTTCTAGCACTAGCACACCTTACCTAATTCCTAGACTATGGCGTAAAAGGCATTGCATATGGCGTTGGGAGTGTGGCGTACGGAATATTGCAGTGAGGCGTACGCAATATTGCATACAAATAAGGCACTTTGAGGCATACGCAATAGGAGGTCAGGGTGTAAGGGTAATTTGGGCTCACTCGACCCAATTTTAAATTTTTATAATTGATGTTATTATCCCTATTTCAAACCACTAGTATTGATTGAATTTTTCAGTCAATCAATCTAATACAACAACATCCAAGCGTTAGTCCCAAATGATATTGGGGTCGGCTAACATGAATCGATACATGATATCACCACCAAAAGGAAAAGAAAGAAAATAAAGATAAAAAAGATAAGCTATGCTAAAAAATAATATAAAAAGAGATGAATATGCATAAAAATGATAAAATAAAAAGGATACAAATAATGCTTATATATAAGGGAAAAAACAAGGAAAAAAGATGAGGGGAAAAGATGATACGAGATCACTCCTCCACTTGAATATCCGCCCTCCACTTAGCTCTCTCCAAAGTCATGCCCTCATCCAACCCTAGAAGAAGCATATCACTTCGAACTCCCCTAACCCACGTCTGCTTGGGTCTTTCTCTCTCTCTCTTCCTTGCCTCTTCTCCACACATCTCAACTCGTCTGACAGGTGCATCATTCGGTCTTCTACGTACATGACCAAACCACCGTAGACGCGACTCCCGCATCTTGTCTTCAATAGGTGTTACTCCCACCATTTGTTTGATTGTCTCATTCCTCACGCGTTCTTTCCTAGTATGCCCACACATCCAACGCAGCATGCGCATCTCTGCCACACTCATCTTTTGAATGTGACATTGTTTCACCGCCCAACACTTTACGTCATACAGTAATGCAGGCCTAATTGTTGTCCTATAAAATTTACCCTTCAGTCTAGTCGGCATACCTCGATCGCATAGAAATCCTGACGCACTCTTCCACTTCATCCACCCTGTTCTGATTCTATGAGATACATCTCCATCTAACTCACCGTCTTTCTGAATTATGGAGCCCAAGTAACGGAACATATCGCTGACCGGTATCTCCTTACCATCCAGAGTAATTTCGCTATTACCACTGCTTCTACCTTCACCAAACTTGCACTCCATGTACTCTGTCTTATTCCGACTTAGTTTGAAACCCTTATTCTCCAATGTTTGTCGCCATACTTCCAACTTTGCTTTAAGGCCTGATTGTGTCTCATCAATCAATACAATATCGTCGGCAAACATCATGCACCACGGTATATCATCTTGAATTGACTTCGTAAGTTCATCCATGACTATGGCAAATAAGAAAGGGCTTAGAGCTGATCCTTGGTGCACTCCGATAGTAATAGGAAACTCTTCAGTCCTCCCTACACTAGTACGGACACTTGTAGTACAATCCTCATACATATCCATGATGATGCTGATATACTTGCGTGATATGCCTTTTCAAGTTAAGGTCCGCTAAAGAACTTCTCGAGGTACCCTATCATATGCCTTTTCTAAGCCAATGAACACCAAATGAAGATCCTTATGAGCGTCTCTATACTTCTCCATAAGTTGCCGAAGAAGGTGAATGGCCTCAGTTGTTGAGCGACCAGGCATAAAACCGAATTGATTCTCTAAAATCTTCACAGTTCTTCGAAATCTTTGCTCAATCACTCACTCCAAAAGTTTCATGGTGTGACTCATAAGCTTAATCCCTCGATAGTTGGCACATTCATGTACATCACCTTTATTCTTAAATAAAGGGATAAGAGTACTCTTCCTCCAACTCATTGGCATCATGTTGTTTCTCCAAATCATGTTGAAGAAACTTGTTAACCACTCGACGCCTCTCTCTCCCAAACTTCTCCAAGCCTCGATCGGTATGCCATCAGGACCCACCGCTTTCTTCCGTCCCATCTTCCTCAGAGCTTCTTTAACTTCCGTTGTTTGGATCCTTCTCACAAAATCATGATTTACCATACAATCTGGTATGGACAAATCACAGATATCTTGCGTTTTGTTCCCGTTGAATAGTGTATCAAAGTATGACCTTCACCTCACTTTTATCTTTCTGTCGTCCATTAATATCCTCTGATCGACATCCTTCACACACTTAACTTTTGCAATATCTTGAGTCCTGTGATCACGAAGACGAGCAAGTCTATAAATATCTAGTTCTCCTTCCTTAGAGTCCAACTTTTCATACAACTCTTTGTTCACTTTCTCTCGTGCTTCCCTTACGGCTTTCTTTGCTTGTCTTTTAGCTTCCCTGTATGCTTCTATGTTCTCATTACTCCAACTTGTCCCCAACTTTTTGTAGCAATCTCTTTTGTTCCTTATGGCTTGTTTCACCTCATCATTCCACCAAGACTTGTCCTTTTTAGGTGGGAGACATCCTTTAGATTCTCCAAGTACCTCCTTTGTCACTTTGTTAATGGTCAACTCCATTGATAACCACACATCATCCCCATGTGTTTCATTATCAATACGCCATACATCTTCACCGACCATTTTGTGTGTAAAGCTTTGTTGAAGATCTCCATCAAGCCTCCACCACTTTATCTTTGGCTCCACTTGTTGTTTAACTTGTCTTATATGGTTCTTACCTCGAAAGTCAAGCACAAGCATCCTATGTTGAATGACAACACTCTCACCTGGAATAACCTTACAATCAGTGTAGCTAGTTCTCCAAGTGGTCTGTACTAAGAAGTAGTCAATTTGGGTACTATTGGCTCCACTTTTATAGGTTATAAGGTGAGAGTCTCTTTTCTTAAACCAAGTGTTCATTATAGCCAACTCATACGTCAAGGCAAAATCCAAAATAGTCAATCAATCTAATAAATTTAGATTTTCATATCTTAGAATTTCTTTTTGATAAACGATTCAGAAAGTTTTGGCATTCTATGGTATTTTGAAGTTTGAACATATTACTTTGCTAGGATTATGGCCTCTTATGGTTTGTTTTAATATAACATTTGACGACTTTTCATGAATATGTTCATTTTTTATTATGTTTATATATATAGATGAATCTTCATGTCAGGAAGGCCTCACCGGGACAGCCGTCTGGCTGGGCCCGTTTGAGGGCCTTTCCAGGGGAATTTTTTGATGAATTTTTTTGAGCATGTTATTCATCAAGTCTAGTTTACTCATACAAAGTTTCAGCTAACAATTCAATCGGGAAGGCCGTCAACTAAAGTTTTTAAGAACACTGCGCAGTTAATATATATAAACAGCGCAGTATTTTTCAGCAAATCATTTGACTGTCTTCCCGATTAAATTTTTAGCTAATTTGATATGAGTAAACTAGACTTGATGAAGAACATGCTCAAAAAAATTCATCAAAAAATTCCCCTGGAAAGGGCCCCAAAAAGGCTCGGCCGAACGAAGGTTCCCATCAGGCTGGCCTGACATGAAGACTGTAATATATAAAGAGAGGAATGATCTTGTCTAGCCGGAGGGATAGGATCCTCCGTTTAACTGCCGTCGTTTGGAGCGGTTCCCGGTGTTATTTTTGTATGACAGCGGGTCCTGTCTCTCCGGCTGAGCCCGTATTGCGTAGTCGTGTCGTTTTTTAATATTGCATATTGCATAAGCCTCATTACGCGATAAGGCGTATATATACATACTAGGGTTGTCGAGAACTTTAGTTCCTTGAGTGCGCCTCACAACTTTGACTACCCCGGGAGGGAGAGCATATATGTCGAGGATTGATCTTATATTGGTTGTCTCTTTATTTATTTATTTATTTATTCTTTTTTAACTCTGATATTATATGTTAGTTCATGTTAGTCGATTCCAAACTCTTTTGGGAACAAAGCTTCTTGTTGTTTCAGTATTAGGTTTTTTGTGACTCGCTTGAGAAAGCGCAAGAGGGTTTACAAGACCTTTTTCCATTTTCCATCATTCTATAGAAAGAAAAGAAGAAGAGTAAAAGCACGCTTTGAGGGAACTTTACTTGCATATTCATTGAGTTACATGCACCAAGGCGTCCGATAATATGCCAAGACCGAATAGTCTGCAGCAAATAAAACCAACCAACCAACCGGGTCAGGTGGAATCCCTTGCAAAAGCATAAAAACAGAAGCACAAATTACTTACATTACAAATCAATGAGACATCCTTCTCCAATGGGGAGTTGTAGAACTCAAACCATATATAAGAGTTTGTAAAATCAAATCTACCAATGCATAATAAGACGACCACATAATTTAGTCAAGGATAAACTTACAAATCTTCCCAACCCATTAATTTTCATTTAAGAAAGGGATGGGGAAAGAACTTAGATGCTTCTAGAGAGAGATATCAGCAGCTGTAGGCAGGGGGATTTGGACAACAATGTTAGTATCTTACCATTAGAGTCTGCCTACATCCAATATTAAACATATGAATAAATATTAGACCAGCAAACTAATTCGAATTCAATTTCTTAATATGGCTTGGCCTGAGTGGATTTGAGCAATCCTCATCCAACCAGGAACTCTATCCTCTAATCCTTTAATCTCATCAGTGAAAGTGCATAATTGTATCCAAACTTACTGGTTGAATTTCACTTCCATGGGTATGGGCGAGCCAGTCTTTGCTTGCAAAACACTGTTCCTTTTCTTTCTGAACCTTTCATCAATCTATGCATTTATATATAGAGAAAGCAGGGTATATTGTGTTAAGCAAAGACTAGTGACTAGTGAGTATATATAAAAATATATAGGGGGCGGAGTATGATTGTTGCAGAAGAGTAAATTCAAGCTGACCCAACCCCTACTAATGAGATCCAAGCTCAGATTACTTACTTTGGACTTGGCTTTTTCTGGGTCAAGGATGAGGCTTCCAAGAATCTCAGCAAACTCGGGGTTCTTATCATAATCTTCCCCATCACCTTTTCTTCCTCCGAACCCATCTTCCTCATCGTCGCCATAGAAAATGTTCGATGACTTGCACTCTGCTTTCCGGATCTGGGTGTTGCTTGCATTGGCGGTGGTCGGGGAACATGGTCGAAAATGAACCGAAAGTGAAAAGCTTGGACATGGTGCGGAGGGGCGAGAGAGTTTTCTGCTTTGTGAAGGTAGTAGTCGGGAAGGAGAAGAGAAGGCAGGGGATTGAAGCAGGGTCAACATTGCTGCCCACCGCGACCTACTTTTTGTTGATTTACCCAACCAACAGCACAATCCTTGGCAGCCTGCAAGAAAAAAGATTGGGGAAAGGTTACAACTTGTGTACCCATTTATAAAAATGGGATATCATAACTACCATTCATTTGATTGGTCCAAATAGGTATATCTTTTTTAATTTGAAATTAAATTATTCAACTGCAAAATTTTCATTGGTACAGGTGGACAAAGGTATGGTACCGTAGAATTACCTTGTAGAAATTACCTTTCCTTTTCATTTATGCCACAATCTCTCGTCTAGACTTTCACTTTTTCAATTTAAATATTGAGAAAATCGCACTTTTAGTCTCTGAAATAGTCATCATATTAAAATATTAGACTCGTATTTCTGAAATTGTAAATGTCACCCCTCAATTGTCCAAATTGCTATAAGTGTGCTCCTTTGAGATGTGAAATGTACTTCTCACTGACACTGTACATTTCACCTCTCCAAGGACCACATTTACAGCTAGTGGTGGACTCGGTTTGGGCCTTGAACCGGCCGGGCCTTGGTTCACGGATGGGAGGCCCGGAACCGGCCCGGATAACCCCGGGTCCGGTTCGGTTCGGGTCACCCGCCCGGTTCACGGGCCGGGCCGCCCGCCGGGCCGGGCCTTTTAATTTTTTTTTATTATTATATATTATATTATTAGAATAATTCTTATTACAATTACAATATATTATATTCTAATTCAAGTATATTTATTTCAAATAAGAAGTACAATTGAGAATTAGAATGAATTTAAAAAATGTAATAGATTTTGTAATAAAAAATCAATCGGAATCTCCGCCTTCGGTTGTTTCCTCCATAAAGTGGCGGGTGGGAGCGATGGTAATTTCTTGAGTTCTTCGTTGGGCCTTCAACCAATCGTGAAAGCAAACTAGTGTCTCAAGAGAGCTCGGGCTCAACCTCGTTCTATAATCGGTTAGGACGTTGCCGGCCGCACTAAATTCTTGTTCCACGGCAACGGTTGATATCGGCATTGCTAGCACTTGCTTAGCCATCTTTGATAAAATCGGGAACGTTCTTTCATTTTCCTTCCACCACTTAAGAACGTCAAAGTCATCACCAACTTCATAATCAACATTCAATGTTAGATACAAAGAAAACTCATTACCTGAGCTTTGTTCAGTAGCGGGAGTTGCTCTACTTTTTTTCAAAAGAGAACCAAAAGCGGATTTTAAAAGTGATTTTCCTTTAGATGAAGAAGATGTCTGTTGCATGGGAGGGGGTGCATTACCATATTGTGCATGAAATTCATTATACAATTGATGAAATAAATTACTAACCTCGTTGAATTCTTGTTTAGGGGTGATGGGATTATCATCGAACTCTTGAGTTGGAAAAAAAGAAGCATAATAGTAATCTATACAATTTGCCAAGTAAGCAAGTTTATAACGAGGATCAAGAACAAATGCAATACCATATATATGCCGAATATGTGAATAATATTATAAAAACTTTTGTTTCATGAAATCACAAAAATAACTAACGTAAGTGGCTTCGGAAAATTCATAAAAAGCGCCGGCGAGATTAACAGCTTCAACAAAAAATTCGTTTGCGGTAGGTTTATAAACATGACTAAAAGTTTGAGTTGCGTTATTAAAATATGCCAAAACATTAACAAATTTTTCACATGTGTCGATGTTAGCCGGGTTTATAATATAGTTACAAGTTTGTCTTAAAAAAGCTGGAAAATGATCTTTATATCTGATAAGTACTTGAATTAAATTATAAGTACTATTCCAATAAATAGACAAATCTTTAGGAAAAGCACAATAATTGACACGTCTATCCTTCAAATATTGCCGTCATTGCATTTTTAGTGGAGTGCTAGCCCAAATCAATTTAATTCCCCCTTCACTACCTCCAAAGCATTTCCTAATGCCGCTAAGCCATCTTGTGCACACAAATTTAGAATATGACATGCACAACGTTGATGAAAAAACCTACCCATCAATGTAGAAGCACCACACAATTCACGTAATCTAGGTATAGCAGCAGTATTATTACCAGCATTATCAAAACCTACAGCAAACACCTTATCAATCAAATTATACTCAATTAAAATACGTTCAATGGGAATATAAATATTATCAGCAGTGTGACGATCATTGAATTCACGAAAAGCAAGAACACGTTTATGCATATTCCAATCATCATCAATATAATGTGCAGTAAGACCCAAATAATATAAATGATGATAAGTATCCTCCCATATATCGCTACAAATACTAACACGCCCATCAAAGTTTGCGAAAAATGTTTGTAATTTTTCTTTTTCCAAGTTATATTGCCTTATAACTTCTTTTTTAATCGTTTTGCGACTATAAATTCTAAATTGAGGATTTAAAGTACCTTGAGCATAATCTCTTAAAGCAAGACTTTCGGAAAAAATATAGGGTAAATTTTCTTCAACAATTAAATGAGACATATGAGTCGAATGTTTTTTATCATCATAGGAAAAATTACCAAAGGGTTGAGAATTTGCAAACCTCGATATTTGTGTTTGCTTCCCCTTGCCTTTGTCTATTTTCGCATACTCCACAAAGTGGGCGGACTGAAGATGCCTTTTGAGACTCCTGTATCCGCCGGAAGTTCCCAAGCTAAACTCTTTGTTACAATGATTGCAACTTGCGTACCATTTTTCGGTATTTTCGTCTTTCCTTTTTGTATAATTGTTTTCAATAATAGGAGATTTAGATTTCTTACCAATTTGGGTTGTAGTCGTTGAACGGCCCTCGTCCTCCAACTCTTTCTCATCATCCGGGGTGTCGTGAGTCCCGTCGCCCCCCGCGTCCTCCTCCGCATCGTCATCCTCGAGCTCCTCTTCATCAATGGTTGTCGGGAATTGTTGTTCTTGTGCAAAGCGTGGATCATTTTGGGACAATAGGTGTTGTAGTTGCTCGTCGGATATCATCATATCATCTCGCCGTTGGTAATCCATTTCAAAATCATCTTGACTTTGAAAAGAAGACTCGGCCCGCGCTTTACCTTTGCCTTTGCGTGAAGTAGATCGAGTCGATGCAATCTCCCTCTTGCGGTTGCGTTGGAGATTACCCACATCTACAGAATGTCTATCACGCTCCATCTTTAAAATTGAACAAATATTAATGAGAAATGTAGCAATTAACTAATATGAGAAATGTAAAAAATAACTACTATTTTTACTTTAATGAGAAATGTAGAAATTAACTAATATGAGAAAAGTAAAAATTAACTACTTTTTTTTACTTTAATGAGAAATGTAGAAATTAACTAATATGAGAAAAGTAAAAATTAACTACTATTTTTACTTTAATGAGAAATGTAGAAATTAACTAATATGAGAAAAGTAAAAATTAACTACTTTTTTTACTTTAATGAGAAATGTAGCAATTAACTAATATGAGAAAAGTAAAAATTAACTACTATTTTTACTTTAATGAGAAATGTAGAAATTAACTAATATGAGAAAAGTAAAAATTAACTACTTTTTTTACTTTAATGAGAAATGTAGCAATTAACTAATATGAGAAATGTAAAAATTAACTACTATTTTTACTTTAATGAGAAATGTAGCAATTAACTAATATAAGAAATGTAAAAATTGATTACTTTTTTTTTACTTTAATGAGCAATGTAGCAATTAACTAATATTAATATGAGAAATGTAACAATTAAGTAGTTTAACTAATATTAATATGACAAATGAAACAATTAACTACTTTAACTAATATTAATATGACAAATGAAACAATTAACTACTTTAACTAATATTAATATGAAAAACGAAACAGTTAAGTAATTTAATAGATAAACGAGAAGTCTAACAATTAACTACTTTTATAAAATGTATGAATGTGTATAAGTCTATATCAATGAGTATAAGTATATATAGTATATATAATGTGTAAATATATTATAAGTAATATATAATATAATGTATAACTATATATAGTATATGTAATATAATGTGTAAAGAATTATAATATGAATGTGTATAAGTATATATTTATAAGTAGATAATTAATATATAAGTAGATATAATAATTATATAAATTGTATATATGTAGAAAGAATTTGGAGAAGATGAAGAATGAAGATGATTGAATATGAGAGATTGAGAGAATATAGAATTTAGAGAGTAGGAAGAGTTGTAGAAGTAGAGGTGTAAAAAATGTATAGAAAATAGGAGTATAAATAGGTTTTTTTTGTATACCCCACCCCCACCCCCCCTAACCCCCCAGACCCCCTCTCCTATGCTCCCAACGGCTATAGAGCCGTTTGGGAGCTCTCCCAACGGCTATGGAGCCTTTTTCTATTTAAAAAAAATTAAAATATGACCGTTGTGGCTCGGACCGGGCCCAGCCCGGCCAGGCCGGTTCACTAAAATGCAGGCCCGAGACCGAACCGCTAGAACACCGGGCCGGGTGGGCCGAACCGGGTACCAACCGGTTCACCGGGCCGGTCCGGGCCCGCACAGTAGCGGGCCGGTCCGGGCCCGCACAGTAGCGGGCTGGTCCGGTTCCGGGCCGGTTGGCCCGACCCGAGTCCATCCCTATTTACAGCAATTTGGACAAGAGGGATGACATCTACGAAGTGGGAACATGAGTCTCACATTTCAATATAGTGACTATTTCAGTGACTAAAAGTGTGATTTTCCCTTAAAGATTTATATTTCAAAAACAGTCTTCGCAGAACATAGGAAAAATCGCATTTTTGGTCCCTGAAAAATAGTCACCATATTGAAATGTGAGACTCGTGTTTCCCACTTTATAAATGTCATCACTCAATTGTCTAAATTGCCATAAATATGGTCCTTTGAGGGGTGAAATGTACAATGTGAGCGAGAAGTACATTTCACCCCTCAAAGGACCACACTTATAGCAATTTGAACAATTGAGAGGTGACATTTACAAACTAGGGAATACGGGTCCCAGACTTTAATACGGTGACTATTTACATTGAGGGGTGATTTTCCCTGAACATATATGCTCATCTTCATTTGTTGGGAGAATAGGAGGAAGCATGTCATAGTTGAATTTGTAAGCATAGATCACAGAGCATTCAA